ACAGTTTATGCACATAAGACATATCAGAATGTAATGCATCAAGCATACGATAATCAACAGGTCTAACAAAAACTGTTTTACCTTGACTACTGGATGAGCATTTATCTACTCCTAACCTAGTTTTATCATTCACATCTTTAGCCATGTTTTTTAATTTATTCAAACAATCTTGTTCCATGGTAAAAACTCTCAGATTATCTTGTGTAGATTTCAATTCAATTTCAAGATAATCAATTTTCATAACAAGATATTCCTTCATTGAGTTAGCACTACTTACCTTATCTTCAAGAATGATGATCTTCTTGTCAAGCTCAGTGATGATAGAATTGCTTTCAAAAGCTTTTCTTTTTCCTTCATCAATCTGTTTTCTTAGATCTTCATTCTCTCCCTTTGTTTAGATAAGCTCATTTGCTAACTTATTGATAGCCTGTTTGACTTCAATGGTTTCTTCCACCATCTTCTTCAATCTTTCATCATTCTTTTCAACCTCTTGCACCTGTTCATCATGAACTTCATTATCTGAAATATCAAAGTAAGATAAAGTAACAATATGAGGACCTTTTTCAAGAAAAGTGACATAAGATAAATCATTGCAATCATCATGAGGAGAATCATTATCACTTAAAGTAGAATTTTCAGAAATAGAAACTTTCATTGTTTTTTCCTTGTTCCTATCCTTTTGATCTTTCATAGGACTAGGACAAACATTGGAGGCGTGAACTTTGCCACCACAATTCTAGCAAGTGAATTCAGTTTCTTTTAATGCGTGACTTTTGGCAAAATTTTGAGGATTGGCCATGTTGCCATTCCTTCTCCTCTTTTGTCTTTGCAATATCTGATTGAATTGCCTTTACAGAAAAATAAAATCATCATCAGAGTTTTCATCCATAGAATTCTTAACCTATGTTGATTTTAAAGCAAGATTATTTTCCTTCTGATTTAAATCAAAATTCTGCATCTCAAAATTTTTCAATTAACCAACAACTTCATCAACTTTAGATTTAGACAAATCCCAATGTTCAGTATAGTTTCTATCCTAATTTGAAATCTTTTAGGTAAAGACCTTAAGATTTTTTCACAGATTTTCTTATCATTAACTCTTTTGCCTAAGTAACACAGTTCAGAATTTATTTCAAGAAGACTAGAATAAAAATCATAAAAGGATTCATCTTCTTTCATCACGATATTCCCAAAGTTATGAGAAAGCATCTGAATTTTAGATAACTTCACTTTTGAAGTCCCTTCATGAGTAACCTGCAAAATATCCCAAGCATCTTTAACAGTTTTTCTATAATAAATTCTAACATATTCAGATGGAATAACAGAATTAATAATTGCATATAAAGCTTTTCTATTAACATCATTATCAGTTTGAACTGCAATAAAAGCAAAGGCATCTTTTAGAACTTTAACTTCTTCACTATTCACAGTTTTATCTTCCGTAGGTGGTGTATAGCCAGATTCAACAATAGCCCAAGTTTTACCTCCTGAATTTTGCAAATAAGCTCTCATCTTTGATTTCCAAAAATTGTAATTATTTCCTTCAAATAAAGGACCACGTCGATTAGAACCTCCTTCTTTCAACGCATAAGACATGATGAAAACAAAATTTTGAAATCAATCAAAACTTTCCACAAGGATCAACTTTATGTGTAGCGATTGGCTCTGATACCAATTTGTGAGTTGTACGCAGCGGAATATTTAGAAAGTTTTGTATTTTTAGAAATAGCTCTGTGTATTTCTAGCTTTACTTATTTTAGCAACTAAACAATTAATCACATGTAAGATCAAATAAAACAAAGTAAATAATTAGAGATGATACTAGGATTTTTAGTGAGGAAACCCCAGTTGATAAAATACGTCAACTGTTTACGCGAGAAAAACCTCGTGGACTATGCAATCCAAAGTAAATCGATCCACTATGTTTGAGACAAGGTACATTGAACTTTGACTCTAGCTCACACCCTATCGTTCTACTAAACACCAATAGCTAATAATCCTCTAGCTTTGTGACGTCCCGTCCAACATCAACTTGACCTCAGGCTTATGCTTGATCTTTGTAGAAGAGTAGCTGGTAGATCAAACAACACTCCTCGAATGTTTTAACCTTGTCAAAGTGTGATCGCTTTTACTTCTATTCTTTAATATCTGAATTTGATGTAGAAGTAGATCTATTTTTCTCTGATCGTCGTAGATGCAACTGTATGATCACGATTAGGATTTAAACAATAGCACACTTAAACTCACTATGTGGTTATGTGTATGTTTTAGAAAGACTAGCAGATAAATCTCTTGGATTTTCTGCACATAAAATCTTCCTAAGGCTTTTAAGAATAATGAATTGATAGTGCAAAAGTCATGAATAAACCTAGATGTGTATCAGGGTTTATATAGAATTTTCAAAGACCTAATCCTTATGAAAATAAAGGAAATTTTGTGCATAAAACTATTGGTAACATTCTAAAGCAAACAGGAAGTTTAAAACTGACCAGGACAGAGTTTCCTAAAACTGAAATAGCAGTGGTACTGGAAACCAAATGTGGAACCGGTTCCCAAGGACAGAATTGAATTCTTCAAATCTTAGCTTCTTGAACCGGTTCCTAATTATGGTATCGGTTCCCACTTGACAGAATCCAATCTGAAGTTGGAAATTTTGTGTTTTGGTAACTTGGAATATATACCATGTAGATAGGTGTTGTGTTCTAAGTGGGAAACGACTTCTTAAAAGTTGTTCTTTCCTTTTTCGATGATCTCAGTATTTCGTTTTTTGAACAACCTTTCCAATTCCGCAGTCGATGTCGATCTGGATATGGTAACTTAAATTACAACTCGACTAACACTTGTTTTGACATCGAATATTGCCAATTACAAATTTATATTTCACAAATTCCCTAAGCCTTTTCTCCTTGATATCTCCCATCATTTTACTTACTTTAATTTTAGTTTTTACATTTATTGCAGTTAGAAATAGAAAAACAACCAAACAATCTCTTTTCTTAAATCAAATTGGGAATAATTTTATACTTAGCAATCCACCATAATCCCTGAGGTTTAACACCCTCAACATAGCTTTATTCTGCAAGGATTCGTTCTATTGCGAGTGGTTTTGTCATTGAAAACACATATACCCAAGATTTTACAGAGGAAACACTAATTAGAGAAATTCATCCAATTGAGAGAAAAACCTTAAAGACTTTCACAGTTTCGAGCGAAACGATCCACTATAGTCAAAGCAAAGTACAATGGATTTTGACTTAGGTTTACACCCACCCCGCTTTACCAAAAACTAGTTGTTGAAAACCTTTGGCTTTGTGACTCCCCGATCCAAATCCTCTAGACTTTAGGCTTACTCCTCAATTCTTGTATAATGATTATTGGGATAACACAAACACTCCATGAATGGTCTGTCCCCTTCTTAGCTCGATCGATTCCTCATTTCCTTCAAATTTGAATTGGTAAAGGTAAAAGAACAATTCTGCTTTTTTAAATGGTAAAAATGGATCTTCAATAACTTGAACTCTGATCAGATAGAAAACACCATCCTGATTCACTCTCGTGTAATAGTGTGTGCTCTTAAATAAAAATAAACTCAGAAAAATCATATTTGATTTTCTGAAGTAAAATAACTTTTAAAGGCTCTCTAAATTGTATGAATAGTAAAAAATTTGAAGTAAAAGAGAGTATATAGAGATGTTAGAGAGACCTAAATATACTTGGAAAACAAGTTTGATTCATGCAAAAATGTCTTTCTAAAATGTGATTAAAAAATAATTCAAATTAGACACAAACAATAATTTCTATTTTGGTTCCAAGCTAGTTTGACCGGTTCATTTTTTGTAAAGGCAAAAACGTTGTCTTGGACCCGTCTATGGAAAGTTGGACCCGTTCATAGAAAGTTGGACTAGTCCATTAAAAAGCAATTCGTTCAAACTTAGCCAATTTGGACTAGTTTGGAAAAGTTGAACCAATCCATTTTTGGCCGACCTGATAAAAACACATTTTTTTTGGAAGTCTTTCCACCAAAAATGAACTACAAAGCCTATAATAATGTATAATTTTCTCTTCAAACGGAAGTCACATACTTTGATTAATACGATGTTCTTTTCGAACAAAAATAAGCTCGCACTTTATCCAACCTTTTCATTTTGCTTTCAACATCTAAACTTAAGAATAAAATGAAAAATTATAAATATATCGGACACATTTTAACACTGAAAATTTTCAATTATAAAATTTATCTCTCTCGAAAAGAACAAGCAAGGGAAGTTTTCAAGTAGTAATGACTAGGAGGGTTTCTCACTGCTTTCGTAGTTCGTACCCTGTAATTATTAATGTGAATGAAATGAGCGTAAGAATGAAAACTTTAGAATTTTGTGGTGGTCCGGTTTCTCACTGCTTTCGTAGTTCGTACCCTGTAATTATTCATGTAAATGAAAACTTTAGAATTTTGTGGTGGTCCGGTACTTCCTTTGTAAAACCATCCATCTCCACACATTTTTGAAACACAGGACCTAGGAAATTTCTTGCACATCACCTACAGTCAATGTGACAGAGACAAGAGCCATAAGTGGTGGGAAAAAAGCAGCCAATCACAAGAAACTGATAAGAATTTTATTATATTTTGTTATCTCATATATATATGTTTTCACATAGTAGCTTAAAACTTTGAGAGTTTTCATTTAATAATTTGAGCAGTTACCACATAAGCCCCACATTCTTTTTCAATGAGTGTTGCTCTCGCTCTTATACTTTACGCATGTTTTTACTCTTGTTTCTTATTATTTGTGACTTAATTTTGTCGTTGTTTTCACGCTTCAGTTCTCGAATTCTCTCCCGCTACCACTAGATTAGAAATTTTTAGATAGTCCGATCTTGGACAAATTGTCCCGGCCAATCATCATTGGACTAGTAAAAAAAATGAATAAAGTTTAACACATTTTTGATACATTTTTTTTTATGTGTCAAATGGTTCTTGGTCAGGACCACGTAATAGGATTTGGTTTTTTTTTTTTTTTTTAGCTTAGTGAAAAGTCAGCCTGGATAGCCATCCTTTAAAGCGGGGTTGAAATTGCTTTGATATCAAGCAGAAGGTAGTTTCATATCCGTGTGTTTGTGTGTCTAGTCTTTATTGCTCTCCATATCTCTAGCTATAAGTAATTTGGCTCACAGATAAGCAAATTTTCATGGCTTCTTCTTCTTCTTCTCCTTCTTTTTCATCACCTAGATGTGAATATGACGTGTTCTTAAGTTTTAGAGGCGAAGATACTCGCAAAAACTTCATCGGCCATCTTTACACGGCTCTGGATCAGAGGGGAATTAGGACCTTCAAAGATGATGAAAGGCTTGAGAGAGGGAAAACCATTTCTTGGGATCTCATGAAAAATATCAATGAATCCAGAATTGCTGTGATTGTCTTCTCCAGAAACTACGCTTCTTCGTCCTGGTGCTTAGATGAACTGGTGGAGATCCTCGAGTGCAGGAGGACAAAGGGACAGATAGTTTTGCCAATCTTCTACAACTTCAAAGCATCAGAAGTTCGGAAACAGAAAAGGAGTTTCGCAGAAGCATTTAGAGAGCATGAAGAAATTCATAAGGAGGAGATGGAGAAGGTGCAGAGATGGAGGGCTGCTTTGAAGGAAGCAGCAAGTATAAGCGGGTTGGATCTAGAAGATGCTGCAAATGGGTATATATTAATATATATATATATATATATATATATATATACTGATTCTATATATGAGTTACTACTAGCTTACTTTTATTTATTGCTATTTTTTTTTGTTTGTTTGTGGTAAGAAAAATGATAGAAACTTGATCAGTTTTTGATAACCAGGTGAGAAATTTTCCTTAAGAGGAGAGGGACTAGGAGATTTTGTTTGACAATAGTCATTGGATTTCCACAAAATAGACTCTATTCTAATGCATTAGTGAGAGTTACTAATGAATCCTCAAGGAGGAAGGGAAAGGTTTCAGTCATGAGAAAAAAAATAAAAATGGTTTATTTTATTTACCTTTTGAAGAAAATAAAAAATGAAAAAACAAGAGTTTAGTTGGACAATATTCATGTGAGTCCCCACAAAAACCAATTACTGTTGTAGCATTACTTTCGTGATCAGCATTAACAAATTTATCATATATTATTATTATTATTATGTAACTCACAACATTTCTCCAGCAGTGTGTTAAAAGACTTTTTATGTAAAATATATGCAATGTGTGTATGTTAAGATACATTGCCACCTCACCAATGTGTAAAATTATTGTATATTTTACGCAACTTTTTTACATAAGTACATCATCATATTTTCTCTCTCCTCTCTTTTCTTATTCCATTAACAAATCAACTTTATGTTAAGTAAGTTTTTAAAAGTTGTGTGGGGTCTTGGACATGACACGTGGTTGGTTGTTATTAATAGATATATTTTTACACAAAATGTATAAAACAATTGTACTTAAAAATAAATTGTACAAAATTTTGTATAAATCTACTATTGACACATCAAATTTACAAATATATATATTTATATATATAAACAAGGAGATGCTCTCAGCCATTCACATGACCTGTAGAGGAGATTTGAATCCTCAACTCCCACTTTAGAAAGTAAAGGAGATATAATTATATTACAATCAATTTTAATTGCCTAATACAATCAAATTCCATACATTATTATATATACGTGGCTATTACACCTAACATTTTATAAGTAGAGGTGTAAGGTTTTATATAAAGGGTAGCATGGCTTTTGTTAGTAGTATTTGTTGGGTTTGTGGCTAAAATTCTTGAAGATTGCTGAACGCTGAAGAAGTCTCACCGGTCTGACTTGGTTTTGTTGTAGTACGTCGTTGAGTTCAATCGGTCACACTTGTGTGATATGTGCTTGATTTATTTCCTTATCTGATAAATTACTTTCCTAGAGGCTACAAACTTATAGGACAAATTGTTTCTTTGTAATTAAAGAATTTGACTGTAAGAAGGCAAGTAGTATCCACCATAGAATTATGATCTTTGTCAAACAAGAAATGGGTTGGAGACTTGAAAAATAGAGGTGGAGTTGGTTGGACATCCAAGGTTGAGAGAAGAAGATGGGTTGAAAGGGTGAGTGTATATATAATTTGTGTATAGAGATATAACCTCAAAAGATGATGAGTGAGCAAGGTTAGTGTTGCGAAATTAAGCAAAACATAAAAAATAAAAAAAAGGAAAAACAGATCAAACACATAGAATACACATATTTACTTGGTTCACCTAAAAATTAGGGTTGCGTTGAAGGGTTGCAAGAATTTCACTATGAGGATAATATATATATATATATACATATATATATATAGATGTTGGCACAAGATATAAGAGTTTAGAATGAAAAAATACTGTCACACTAGGGCAACATAACAAGTACAAAATACTTACAGGGAAAAAAAGTACAGAATATACCAAAATACGGCCAAAATATTCGGGTCGGGGGAAAGCTATAGTTCGGCCTTGGTGTACAGTATTTATTAGGCCCCACGCTACCCATCAATTAGTAATCAACTTGTATATTTTCTTCTTAATTTTATATTTAGTGAAAGTTTTTATATCCGTGGAGTATAAAACGGATGTCAGCATTTTGAATTGTTATTCTATCTCTAGTATTAGTAAATGGTTGTTTTTTTTTTGGGCAAGTAATTAGTAAATGGTTGTTTCATTGTTATTTTTGCTTATATACAAGTTGTGATGATTAAAACTATTCACTACACCTATTTTATACCTTTATATATTTCTCTTTCTTATACGGTCTAATCTGTTTTGTGTTTTAGATTTTAATATGCTTTGTGTTTAATAGGTATGAGGATAAGTTTATCCAACGAATTGTTCTAGAGATTTCAGAAATATTGCAAAAAAGGATATTCAAAGTTGCTGAGTATGAAGTGGGTATTGATTCACGGGCAAACAAGCTAATCATGTTGTTAAATGCTAGGTTAGAGGATAAATTATTTGTGGGGATTTATGGAATTGGAGGAATAGGCAAGACAACTCTTGCCAAAGCCATTTTCAACCGAGTATCTCATAGATTTGAAAGAAGTTGTTTCCTTGAAAATGTGAGAGAAGAGTCAACAAAACTTGGTGGTTTAGCTAAACTACAACAAAAACTTCTTAGAGAGACCCTAATGGATAATAATTTAAGGATATCCAACTCTGACATCGGAATCAACGAGATAAAGGATAGACTTCAACATAAAAAGGTTCTTATAATTCTTGATGATGTCAGTCATGAGAAACAAATAAAGAGTTTAGCTGGAATAGGACATGATTGGTTTGGATCGGGAAGTAGGATCATCATAACAACTAGAGATGAACGGTTACTGATAAAGTACAATGTTAAAACATACAAGGTTGAGCTATTAGATGAGAATGAAGCAGTTGAACTTTTCAGTTGGCATGCATTCAAGCAGAATTATCCCGTAGAAGAGTATTGTGAACTTTCGTGTCGTATAAAAGATTATGCTAAAGGCCTTCCATTGGCTCTTCAAGTTTTGGGATCCTTTTTATGCGAAAGAAGCATACCAGAGTGGAAAAGTGAACTGGATAAGTTGAATACTGACCCTCACAAAGAAATTCAAGATGTTCTTAGGATAAGTTGATGGCCTTGATACAAAAAAGAAGGCTATATCCCTCAATTTTGCTTGTTTCTTAAAAGGATGTGACAGAAAATTTGCAATAGATTTTTTTGAGAGTTGTGGATTTTACTTGGTCATTGGAATAAAAGTTCTCCCTGAGAAGTCCCTTGTTACTATATCAGAAGATAATAAGCTCTCGATACATGATTTGATGCAAGAAATGGGTTAACAAATTGTTCGTTTAGAATCTAAAGTTCCTGGAGGGCGAAGAAGACTGTGGTCTTATAAGGACATCCATAAAGTATTAACTGAAAATACGGTATGCTTTAGATATATTTTAGTTTGTTTCAAAGTGTTATAATTTTAGTGAGGTTTTCATTTTGTGGGGGTACACTTACTTTTGCTATTGGTTGATAGGTTAAATGAGAAAGAATTGTCTTTAGAAGGTATTGCCTTCTTCCTGGGGGAGTTTTAGTAGAATACGGCTTCTTGGTTGTCCTACAAATCTTTCTAATGAGTTAAGTTATCTTGATTGGAATGGTTACCAAGGAGAATATTTGTTATCCAATTTTCATCCAAAAAAACTTGTCGGACTACATTTACGTCATAGCTTGATCAAAGGAATTTGGACGAATGCAAAAGTAAGATTACTATTCTACACATAATATGTTTCTTTTTGTTAATAATTTTCTCCGGTCAATTGAAGCTTACTTATTTTTATTTTTATTTTTGTTTTTTTTTAACAGTTTTTGCATATGTTAAAAGTCCTTGATCTTAATTTATGCGAAAAAGTGATGACCGTGTCATCTTTTCTTTTTCCGAGATATTATTATTATTATTATTATTATTATTTTATTTTATTTTATTTCTTTCTTTGTTGCCTTTGGGTTTTGAGAATCCAAGGTATGCTTTTGGTGTTCGGGATTGGCTCTCGACACTAAACGCATATATGTTAGTGCATTTCATTCTCAAGGTATGATTCATTTATATAGTAACACATACTTGTTCATTTTTATTTTCATGGGGGTATATGTGCTAACTTTCCTTGGGGACATTTTTATTTTTGGGGTCCTTTGTGCGATTATCTTTTGGAGATATTTTATTTTGGGGCATTAGTGCGATTATCTTTTGAAGATATTTTTAGGAGGGAATTTTTAAGGAAAAGTTGGGACAAGTGTCTCATTTTCATTAGACCATGTGTTTAAAGGGGATTGGTGGTATATGTGGGACTTAGATGATGCCAAATGTGTGGTTGGATATGTGTTTTATGTGGAGGGTTTAAATGTTAGTATGTGAGAGAGGTAGTGTTAGGGTATGTGAGGTTGGTTTATATCATCACCTTTATGCACTTATTCTTTTAATCTTCTTCTTCTTCCTCCTTGCTTTCTCTCTCTAGCCTCTATTGATACACAACTTAGATTTTAGTTTCCTCCACCTTCCTCTCACCTTTTGCTCACACCAAAGATGGAAAAAAGCTTGATAGCTCCTTGGTCTTCATCACCATTCTCTTATATTTCTCATTGCTCATCTTTTCCTTGCATTCTAGAGTGGCTTTCTCTAGTAAGGTAGGGGGTGTAGTATGACATTTTCATTGTGTTTTGGGTTCTATTATAAGTTGTCTATGTGTTGTTTGAGTTGTAGAGAGATTCATTAAGATACACTTCATGACTTAGGTTTTTATATTGTTCAAATGCATGATTATATATCTTCAAAGCTTATTGTTTATCTAGAAAGATGATGGTTTTATGCTGGCTTCCTTGATATATAATTCTTGTTGCCTTTGTGTTGTTCTTCCCATTATAGTTTTCTAAAGATTGGTATAATGCTTGTGTGGTTATGTAGCTAAGGTATTACAGACCTTGAAGTGCTAGCATGACACTAATATCCTTTATTTGATTTTTCAATGTTGACATATACATTTGTATAATTTGCTTAATATCATGTCATGTTTAGCCTTGAAGACTTAGGACATGGAATACTTGATCCTTATATCTTATGTGTGCATGGAAGGTGAAACCTGTGCATTTACAATGTGGCTATATTGTGGAAATGATTGTTGATTTTGGAATAAACTTGGGACATTGTTATGTTGACATAGCTAGAGTTCAGCCCTAGTGTAGGAAGTATAAGGTCTCCCCAATTATAGTGACCACTTGGGTAGTTCCCTATGGGTTAATAGCCCGAAAAGAGCTAATTTTGTCTTGGTTGTGATGTTCATAATCGAATGGTTGTGAGTCCAAGATATACCTATTTTGTGATTTCGTATTTCGTTTATAAGTTGACAATCTTATGTACTTGTGGCTTAGGGTTTTTGGTTTGGATGTTCTAACCTTGACAACCATTATGTCATTTCGTATTTCACTTCTCAATTGACACTTTGATGCAAATGTAGCTTGGAGTATTTGGTATTGGATGTTCCAATATGGTTAAGTGCATTCTTATGATGTGGATTCTATTGATAATACTTCAATGCTAGTTCTAGGATGATCCCTTAGTTTCACCCTTGAATTAAATGCATAGGAGGCATGTTCCACATATGTATAGCTTATACTATTCTTGCAAGGCTATTGAAACCTTAGGTTATCCTCATAATGTACTTTCCTATGGAGTAATTTAAATTACTCACACCCGTTGATAAATATTTTTCAGGTAAAGGATTGCTCTTTTGGGATGGTCATCATTCTTTGCGTGGCTTGGCCATGATATCATAGACAACTTTTGTTTTGTATACATGCAATATGTTTAGCATGTTTCATTTAACTTTTGGGATGTTGATATGTAATGTAACTATGGAATACTTGGCTACTCTTTTGAAGGAGGGAAATGGGCTTAAAACTTGTCAATCTCTTGATTGAGTTCTAAGACCATTCCCACTCTAGTGTTGTCTTTTGCATAAATTTGAAATCCATGTAATGAGGCCAAGGGCCATTTCCTTTTAAGTGCATGTTACATATATCTTTCTTATCCAATGAATAATTGTGGTATCATATAATATTTAGGGTGTTTTTACATCATTCCATACTTCATTTCATATGGGATTGACCTTAGAGGTCTTCGGGATTTATTTTGGGTAATGGGGTGTAAGGTAGCAAAGATTGAGTTTTCTTTTTTTAAAATTTTTTGTTATTGTAACTATTTATCCATTTTTTTTTTCCCTACAACCGAACCGACCACTTCAGGACTTTTCGGGCTCATTTGGGTGTATTTGAGCACCACATATTCAATTTTGACCTTGGAAAACCTTTCCAAAAGCTTACTTCCATTTCTTGGGCAGAACTTCAGCATTTGGACATCCGTTTCTACGTCTGGATGTAGCTACTGTTTTGCGTTGGATAGTTTTGACAACCGATCTTGATATAACCATAACTTACTCATTTTAAATCCAAATTTTGTGATTCTTAAGTCTAAATGCAAGAATTTTGAGTCAGATTTCCAATGGTATCAATCCCATTTTCAGATTCAGTTCCTAATGAGACATATGCTTGTTTTAGTGGGACAGTGTCAGGATTTCGTTTGAACCGGGATAGAGTTTCCGTGGGATATAGCTTCCAATGGCCTTAGGACTTCTTATAAGGTTACCAAAGGATTATATTGGATTCATTTGATCTCATTTGACTTGTTGGGAGTCAAATTTCATTCTCTTTGGCTGAAATGACCATTCTACCCCTATTCTTATTTTTGGCTTTTTTCAACCTTAGCTTTAACATTCATCTTTTATTTGAGTCTCGTGGCTTCTAAGAAGGTCAATTTATTGTCTTAGATGTAGCATCTATATCTAGAGACCTCTTTTCTTTTCTTGCATCCGCGTTCTGGACTCAATATCGGGTCAGTTTTCAGGTTACTTGCTGATGCTTCGGGTTATAAAATTCAGGCTGTTATAGATAATTCGCCCAAAAAAATCCTAAATTTTCAGTGTAATGTTTCTGATTTTTTCTATTTTTTATTTTTGGGAATTTTTTGATTTTTAGGAATTATTTCATTTTTGCCTCGTTTTGCGTTCCGAACACTGTAGAGTGTGCCGGGTGAGTTCCGAGAGTTGATTAAGACATTTCTTCGAGTTCGGAACTCTTAGAAATGCACTGTTGGCCATTTCAGCATTTTTCAATTTTTCGGGCCGGGAGGTTTCGGGCGGGACCTGTAACCGGATTTGTCATGCTCGAGGTTATTTTTTGAGGCCATCATATTTCTTACACCATTATTTTGTGCATTTTTGTGTTATTGTGTGGTTATTTGAGTGTTGCGGCATGTGTGTGAATGTGTATGTAAAGATAAGGAAGCAAATAGGATATTTTGGGGTCACGTGGACCCCGCCTATTCACCAAATGACTTAAAGGGCCAAGGCCCCCTTTTTTTCATTTCATTTCCTCCCTATAAGTCATAGCTCTCTCTCTCTCTCTTGTGTTTCTTTTCTTTTCTTTTTTTCTTCTTTTTAGTTTCAATCTTTCCACCCATTTTTTGGCCGATTGGAAGGGTTTCCGGCCCTATTTCCTTGACGGAAAATGTTTCTCTCATCATTATCTATCACATAGTCCAAGGTTATAATTTTTAGAGGAGCGATGATTATTTTACAAAATTTTGAAGATTTTAGATCTAAGGCTTTAGAGGGGGTTATGCGCCACTTCGAGTCAAATTCTGGAGCCGCGCCTTTGGAGCAGTTTACTCTCCTTGTTGTCAACTACATTTCCACCGAATAGTTTTCCGTTCTGCTGCCGTTGACCGTCTTTAACCGTCGTTGACTTTTCGGCCGGGATGCCTTTTAGCTGCATTTTGTGGCAGGGGTCTCTAATACACATATTCTTTGATTTCAATGAGTTAACTGTTTATAGTTTGACCTTAACATGCTTAAATTGTATAAACTTGTGTATACAATTTAAGCATGTTAAGTATGAGGGTTTATGTGTATTAAGTATGGTAGTTGTGCTTTATATGATAATTGAGTTTATATACATGTCTACTTGAAATGTTATGAAAGAGCATGCTATATTTAAATTGCCATATGCCTAAAATGTTTATGTACTTTGAATGTGAGGTTGGTTATGTGAAATTTAATGTGCTAAATTACTCCCATAGCATGCTAGTATGACATTAATAAAACGTGTGAGATTGTATACTTAATATGGAATTCGAAAGGCATGAAGCATTCATACATGGCATTGGGTATGAAATGGGAAATGTTGTTTTGAAAAGAAAAAAAAAGAAATTTATTTGGGAAAAACTTTTAATTAGTGGTTTGCGAAAACTTGGGCGCCTAGGAGTTGCCTAGTGGTCCGTTGCGTTAATGTGATCTAAAGGGAATTAGGAAGAAACCTTAGCGTGGTTAAGCTACCTAGGCCCCAAATGATGCCTTGGAGTTACTTGTGGTCAGAATAGCTAGCCAGCCCTTTTCTCGTGGCGCTATGGAGTTGCCATGGGCCAGGTTACATTAATGGTTTGGAATAGAAAAACGGAAATGTTTTGGAAATGGGGAATGACATTGGCATATCATTGCATTCCATTGGTATGGCATGGTTTACCTAAGGTTTGGTTGTTGTTGTTGTATTTTCCCCTGAAACAGTATGATCCCATTCTCTTGTGTTCTATACTTTGTTTGGATTCAAGGGATCATTAAGAGGTGGGTCTTAGGCACCTCCTAGTAAGTGGTTGTACTCACCCTTTATATTACTATTTTCAGGTCATGAGAAAGAAGTGGCGGCCGACGTATCCTTATCCACCTACATTTGTGAGTCTTCTATGATGTTAGAGATATGATGTACTATAAGCCTTGGAATGGCACGCATATTATATATTGACATTAGAATTCACCATAATACCCTTAGACGACCTCGAGTTCAGGTAAGGACCCGGTTAGCGATTCGGACCCCCAGATTCGGGTCTGTAATGACCCTGTCATTTTTCCTTCTTTCCTTTTCCCTGTCTTTACGGATAATTTTTTTTTTTGTTGATATTTTCCCTTCTGAGTCCGAGTTCGGACCCTTCGGATAATCATAAGTGCTCGGGAATAGTTTCTGACACTAACTCTTTCGAGAGATTGGTATCGTCCTAGTGAAGACCGTGCCGTCTCCTCTTTTCTTTTTCGAACATTTTCCTTTTTCGTCTTTTCCCCGTTTGTCACTTCTTTGTCATAACCTCACTTTTTGTGCTCAGAATTGATTTCTAACTTCACGTACCTTCATTCCATTTGGTTTTTACGAAATATGTATCTTTACTTTTGTAGAAAAGTACGCTGGTTACTCACTATGTCCATAGAGGCATTGATGCAAAGTTTCTTCGAAAACATTCTTTTTTCTTGGGGTGTTTTTTATAAATATCTTTTGAAGATATTTTATTTCGGGGATTTTTAAGAAAATATTCTTGGAAAATATTTTCATTATGGATCATTCGTGTAGTTATCTCTTTTTGGAAGGGTCATTGTGCAATTAACGAAAGTTATTACAAAATGCCTCGTTTTGAGCCTGAATCCTCGTACAAGATTTATTTTCACATTTCATCAAGTCATTTACTCTTAGAATTGCCTTCCGGTCATTTTTTTTTTTTTTTTTTTCTTTCCAATTTTAGGATTTTCGGCCTCAGTTGCTGCCAAACTTGTTCAGGGCATATCTCTCTACTCGGGACTCGTTTTTTTGACGCCGTTTCTTCTGTTATACATTTTTTTTTTTCTCATTTTAGTTCTTTTTTATTCACAGTGTTTTACCATTTGAACTCATCTGCATAGATTTCACTTTTTAGGGCCCGGCGGGACCCGTTCGTGGCACTTTTAGGGTTTTTCTATAAATAGGGGGAGTAAAGAGAAAAAGTCAAACTTTCTCGTCTCCCACCTCCTTGGCCGGCCAACTATGGCAGCCCTTTGGGCTGCCACCTTCTTCCCTTCTTCCGGCCTTCTTCCCCTTTGGTTTTTCCCTCGGCGATGAAGGCTTTATCGTAGGCCTTGGCGAGGTTGTCCTTTCCCCTCTTTTAGAATCCGGTTTTGACCATTTTTGAGTTCAGGTTTCGATTTTTGGTTTGGATTTTGGTGTTGCCGCAAAGAGGATAATTGTTCCCCTCGTTGTCCCCGTCGTAACCCCGAAGTATCGTCGGATTTGGAGCGGTTTCATTTTGGTGGCTTTTGAGATTTCACCTCAAATTGAGGTAGGGGATGTTATAGGATTGTATTCTTGGTGTTTTAATTATTTTCAAGACTTATATAACATGTATGCATGCCTAGGTATATAATCTAGAATTTTATTTAATTATTTTCTTTGAATGAAATTTAATTCACATAATTGTATCTAACATGTAATTAATTGTGATATGATATTAAATTAGACATTGGTATGTTCATTAACATATATTACTTTGAGAATATTTGGATGAGTGTTGAAACTTTTATTTAATTATTTGCTTTGGATGAAATTTAATTCACATGGTTGTATCTAGCATGGAATTAACTTGTAGCTTGATATTAAATTAAGTCTTGGCATGTTCTTTGATATATATTAAATTGAGAATATTTGGATAAATTTTGAAATATAGAGATTTTAATTAAATGAATTAATTAAAATCTATTTAATGGTTCCATTGATTTAATTATGTTTTTTAACTTGATATATGTAATGTCCTTGACTTGTTCCTTGGCATATATTAATTTGAAATTATTTGAAGTTATTTTAAAATCTAGACATTTAATTATTTTATTTTAATTTAATTATGTTTAATTGTTTCAAAGACGTAATTAAGTTTTTGAGTTGCTATATGCATTGAGCATGATATAGTCTTTGATATATAATTTTTTGAAGTCATTTGAAGTTGTTTTAAAAACTAGAAAAATTAATTACTTAGTTTAATTAATTTTTATTTAAGTGTTCCATTCATGTAAATAAGTATTTGACTTGATATATGTAATGACCATGCTATGATAATTGACATATATTAATTAGGGAATATTTGGATGAGATTTGAAATC